CCGATGCTTTCACACCAGTTTACCTACTGCAACGTGACCATTTCACTGAACCCATGGCACCCCCCCATACACGTGGGGTTTTTTCCCAGGAATATCTTTGGATCTAAGATGTATACTCATCTATTATGTAGAAAGCCAAACATTCAGCTCCTCCAAGAAGTGCCATTTTACTTCTCCCTGGGTGCCCCTATGTTATCATTTTATTGCGAAGCAGGAGCACGCTCTTGAAGCGAGTCCACCCTTCGCTTCCACTTTGTTCTCCCTGGCTTCACAGCCCAGAACAGCCTCAGTCCACGAGGACCAGATGCCTTTTGGATGAGAGGAAAACCAAGAGACGGCTTCCACTAACAGACATTCAGTTCATGAGATCAGACCACAGCCGGTCCTATGCAAGGTGCCCTGACAAGCATGCAATGTGTCCATTAAACCCTAAGCAGCACCCATTTCATACTGTTGATCCGTTCCTATATTAAGCTACACCACATATTAGCACAGAAAGAGCTGGATAATCTAAACCCATTAGATTTTAGCAAGGCAGCTCCAGTTTATTCCCACCTTGTTGGCATTCAGAGATTTTAGTACAGAAGCTTGTCAAAAGCATTAACAGAATTTCCTTCTGAAGGTTGCAACATAAATTACCCTGCTAATACAGCTGCAGTAATTTAACAATTTAGCACATACACCTACCAACTCGGCTCCTTCGTTAGGGCTGGTGCAGCAGGGCAGAACAGGACCAACACAACGGGTGCCCGCACGGCTGGGGCTGCAGAGACCCTGTTGTCATTAACATCTTAAATCATCACAGCCGAGCTCTAGCCAAGGTCCTGGCCCAGAGGCAACGATGTCAAGTTTTGCCCATCTGAAGTTTCTTGACCTTTTCTGCATGAAATAAACCATAAAATACTAACTGTGGCATCAATTATGGTCCACTAGGTCCAAGTGGAGGCAACTAGCGGGACAGTGGTCGCTGGCGCACACACAGAGATGTACAGCCTGTGGCTGCACAAACCCTCCAGGGCACACGAAAACACTGAAGATCACCCTTGACCACAACAGCCACTTTGCCCAGGCTCCCACACGCCCTGTGACATTTACCCACTGGTTCCACTCTACAGCTCAACAAGTCCTGTTTGAGCTAGTCTCTCCCTCAAGCAATAAATCATGTTTTAAAGGCTCCAAGTTTACCGCCTCTGGGTAATTTGTTCCAGTAATCAATTACCCTTACAATTAAAAATTTAGTCCTTATTTCTAATCTCAACTTTCACTGAGAAGCCAACTAATGACCCGTCAGCACAACACATCCCAGCTATCAGCTTCTCTTATCTACAGGATTAGGAGGACTCACCATAACGAAACCTGAATATTCAGATTACTAATAGGATTTTTAGATATTCAGCACAAAACTCTGCTGTGGGAATCACCAGCTCTGCTGTCAGTGAGCAGCTAATAGAGTCAGTAGATTTAACAGGGTCGTGTTGACCATGTCAGTCATTTTGCAGTATGATACCACAGCTCTGTCCAGTAGCATAGATAGTAAATTTAGCCGCAGTACAAATTTACTTTAAATTAAACCAGATCTTTATCAAAGAGGCTAGAATCGGTGTTTAAAATTGCTTATTTCCCCTACCCCCCCTCTGTAATCTCTGCTCTTCCACCATCATTGCTACCCTGCTTGGAAAGCAATACAAGCAGCCACTGTTGCATCCTTGCTGTTCCAGCTCACACAGCTATCCCTACTAGGGTTTGTTTTAATGGCTTAAAGCAAAGAAAGGGGATTTGTATACAGGGAGGCAAGTGGAATCACCATCTCTGTCACAAAGAATTCCCTTTGTAGGCCTGCCATCTGAATTAAATCAAACAAAACCCAAACTGAATCAAGTTTTTCCTACAGCTACTGATGTTAAAAATCTAACCTCCACTGATTTATAAAGGTAACAGAGCACAGTGGTGGCTGTAATAAATGCTGTCTTAAAGCCATCAGGATCAGCAGCACGCATATTACAAGGAGTTACTCACAAAGCCATGTTTTTATAGCTAAATATCAGAAACTTTCATCATTAATCTCAATGGCTCACCATCACTTTAGGTTAAGTAAGACCACAGAGCTACTGAGAGAAATGGTGCCTCCTGCCCAGCACCAGCCCTCACAGCACACCCAGCCCTGCAGAGCCTGGCATCCCTCCTCCTCAAATCAGCACCCACAGGCAAGCCAGATGTGCCACGGCCATGTGACCAAGAGTCACCACCGCCCTGCCCGCCACCCAGTATGCAATTCCCTAAAAAAAATGCTTCAGGTAACCTGTGAATTGTCTTCTGAGCTCTTTGTACAACAGGCAGCATCGATGCCAGGTTAACGATGGTGATTTAATAAGTGAAAAATGAGTGCTTAGCGTACCTCCCTCTGGGCAGGCAGAGGCAGTTGTACGTCAGCACGCCACTGCTGAGCGGTGCTTCGTGGGGAAGCAGGAGATTTAGTGCTCAGATTCAGTATGTCACATGCTTCATTTCTGCCTTGACACCTAGCCTAATTACACATCTACAAAGGATAACCGTCCATACCCCTCCATTACCATGACACAAAGGCTGCAAACAAATCCCAGATACAACAGGGCTGATTCAAGACCAGGAAGGGTAAGCAGTGAAGTGTGACACGCGTGACTTTCAGTGGTGGTTCGTATCTGAGGTCTGACGGTTGAGGAAGCAGGACTATACACCGGTTTGCTGCGGGAAGGAGTCTTCCACGGCGAGCCCAGAGCTCCCCAAAGCATGGGGGCTGCACGGCATCGTCTAGGGTTCAGCAAGAAGTGGAAGCAGATGCCCGCACTCCCCTTCCTGCGCAGCTCGCCATGCCACGCTGTTCCCACGTCGACGTCCCTCCCCGCTGTCAGGCTACAGCCACAGTGGCCCCATGCTCCCCTCGGCACCCACGGAGAGGGAAAGGCTGGCTCCTGCGCTCATCCTGACAGAGCCAGGGCCAGGTGCAGAGAGCGGCTAGACAGGGAGGGGACGGTCACCACGTTACGTCGCAGAACGCGCACGTGTCCTTTGCTCCCAGGAAGACAATGACACCCGACTTACGGTGCCCTGTGCCATCCCTCCCACTGCCCTCGCCCGAAGGACCTCTGCAGCCAGCCTGAAGAGCTGGACAGGGCTGTTGACGATGCAGCACCCGACATGCCTTTTTCTTGGGTGCCCACTTCTCGGGGCTCGCTGCTAACCCAGCTCCACGGGCAGCACATCCGAGTGACGGTACATGCACGGCAGCGCTACAGCCACACGTCTGTGCTCATCTCCTTCACCTCACAGCCCTACTGACACGGCACAAAGGCTGCCTTTTAGCAAAAAAGGCAGGAAACGCTCCCGTGATCC